ATGGAAGGAAAGATAGATCTGGGTGACACGAAGCTCCAAAACTCCTGAGGACCTCTCCCAGCAGCCTCATATAGATATTAAACAGCAATGGGAAGATTATCACCCCGTGTTTTATTAAAGACTTGAGGAGAAAAGGTGCAGGCTGAAAATAGCAGGTGTGCAAACATTCTCACACTTATCTGCTACATATCCCACTTTCCACCACTACAGTAACTTGCGCCTATTTTGAAGCTTTTTGCAGTGACCGAAGCTACCAGTTCGAGGTCTAATGCAGAATTCATCCAATAGGAAGAAGAGATGTAAGAGAGGAATATGGTAATGGAAATTCACTAAGAATATCATAGAATTCATGGTGAACCACCACATCTACATGTACTGTGAATGAGCATCGGCCCTATGGTTAGACAGAATGAAGTATCTGCCTTTGGAAGCTGCTTTTGAGAGTCATGAAAATATAGAAAACACTCTGTTGCTCATTTTGTTTTTACCATATTTTTACTGCCTGGGATGGAAATAATTTGTTTTGGAATTTTCGGTCTTCTTGTGTCAAAAATGACTTGATTGGCTTTGGGTGCTGTTTGGGAGAGTGGAGAGTGCAGGCAGAAAAAACATCTGGATCTGACCTTGCTGTGAATCAAGGGAGAGGAGGAGCATGAACTGGAAATATCTTTCTCTGTGCCTACTGACCTAGACCCCAAAATGCCACTTTGCTTTACCCAAATGTATGGTCTATCCTTGTCCCTAATTCTCACTGGAATTCAAAGGAATGGAGGGCAGCCCAGAAAACAGCACCTTTTTTCACTGAATATAAATGTAAAAGTTTAAATGCATGCTATTTTATAAACAGCCAATATAATAGATGGCTACATTATTATTATGCAGCAATAGAAAGGAGGGGAATCAATAATACAAATGCAAAAAATGCAGCAAGTTCCCTGGAAGATAAATTAAATGTCAATTCAAAACCAATTCTCAAGAAGTTTGTAACAGCAGGGGAGATGGTGGTGAAGAAAAATTAGCATCAGTAACTCATTTAGAGTGAATAGCAGATTTGGCACGAATTTGCTTGTACTAAAGAACACAGAGTCATACTAACCCACTAAATAAGCAAACTTGAAGAATTCAGATCTTTGTGTAATTCTGATGCAAAACTGACCTGATCTGTGTCTTTTAGGATCAGATCACGTGGTTAAGGGGAATGAGTATTTCCCCTTCTCAAAATATTTTCTCTCCAGATAGGCACATACTGTATCTGAAAGCTAAAGGCCTGAGGACTGACATATGCAAAGGAAGCCCATCTCACAAAATGTAAAGGTGAAATAAGTTGCACAGTGAGGCAGACTGCTGTTAGAATAAACAAGACAGCCTTTTACCTCTTCAGGAAGTTCTGCTTCTCAAGCATTAGCTGTATCACCTTGTCTGGCCCTCATCTTAAGAAGCACATTGGAGATTAATTAGCTTTCAAATTCTGCATTTCTCCTAATGTTGTGATGTAGTCATCACCTCAGAAAACATACTGAAAGCGTATATTTTATGTAAATTCCAATTATGTATGTGTACACTGAGATAAAAACACACGTACAAATCTTGTGAGAAAATATGTTCGAAAACGAGCATGCATTTACACATTTTTGAACATATTTTTAGAAACATGTATAAAGAAACAGGATGGTGTGAGCTGATGAATGAATATGAGGGAGAAAGCACAAACCGGAAACAGACTGTTCTATCCATCTCTTACTGGAGGCAGAAGAAGAACACATGTTCACCCACGGACTTGCATCATCATCATCATCATCATACTGAAGCCTTATTCAGGCACTAGAAAGTGTGTGGAATGCTCTCATGCTGAGACTGAAGCCTCCGCCCAGCCTAACTGTGAGTTCTGCTGCACTCTGGCATGTGGAAGGTAATGAGCCTGAACAAAGAGAGCCTCTGCTATCTATGGGAACTGTCCACATGAGCCAGGAGGACCCTGGAAGATCAGGATCCCAATCCACAAACAGAGCTTCCATGAATATCAGTCTGAGTGTCCTTCTTGATTTAACCTGGGTATGGCGAAGGTGGGACTAGAACACTCCCCTCTACTCACAAGCACCCCACACACCTTCTCATGCCTGAACAGGGCTTTAGCAAATCAGGCATCGCAGACGAATCACCACACACAGAGCACCACCTTTAAAAGATCACAATGTTTCCCCAAAGAAGATGTTTCTTCGATTTGACTCAAATAGTGATTAATCAAAAAGATGCATGGCATATTTGGGACAAACAACAGTCCGTCTCGCTATATGACATCATAGATTTGGGGTAATTAATTCTATCAGATATGGCAATGCTGCTAGTTTCAAGAGTTTTGATAGAGAGTATTAGACCAATTAACCGTGGGCAGATCTTTAGATGGTCATTACCCAAGACAGTGATTCTCCTTCTTTACAGCAGAGCTTGGAAAAACAGAGGCTGTCCTTTCTAGAATAGCCACTGGACATGCTGGACTGGGGAATTCTGGGAGTTGTAATCTCCCCAAAATTACTGTTTCACAGCTGTAATTTTTTTATTTAGTCCAAAAGCTAACATTTTCAGGCAATACACCTTAGGCCAGGGTACAATAAATCACAATGAGCTGAATACTTCAGGAAGCAGATTTTAATTGCCATGCAATGTTTAGTTGTTGTTATGTGCAGTCAAGTTCCCTCTGACTTATGAATGAGCCATCTCCAAAATGTCTTGTGACTGTCCTCAACAGCCGTGCTCAGCTCTTGCAGACTCAAGCCTGTGGCTTCCTTTAGGGAATCAGTCCATCTCATATGTAGGCTTCCTCTTTTCCTGCTGCTATTCACCTTTTCTAGCATTATAGTCTTTTCCAGAGAATCCTGCCTTCTCATGTCGTGCCCAAACTAGGACAGCCCAAGTTTCTACATTTGCCCTTCCAGAGATAGTTCAGCCTTGATTTGATCTAGGCCCACTTTCTGTTTAGTTAGTGAGTTTGTTATTTTTGCTTTTATACAGGCAGGGAGAAGGAAAGTGGATGAGAGTTTGTTGCCTTAGGTGCGCTCATAATTTTTCAGTGATGCATGTTTTCCTACTGATCTCCATCAGATGAAATGCTGATTGCAGTGGAAACAGGTATCCTTGGACCTCTGGCTCACATGCTCCCTTCTACCCTCCTCTTTCTCTTCTGCCCATGTTCTAATTATGGTTAATAAAGAAGCCAGGATTTTAAACTGTGACTAAAAAGCCTGATTCTTTCACTAGCCATATTTAAACAAGCCACAGTTCCTCAAGTTCAGCCAACGAACTGGGTTAATTCTAAAGAGAAAGTCTGAAGAAGGGGAGTGGAATATCAAATGGAGGTTTATGCACTAACCCTATACAACCTGTGACTGAGGGGGGGTACCTAAGAAGTAAATTGCAGATCCTCAGGGGCCACCCCTCCTTGACACACACATACTGTGCCACCAGTTTCTAATTGACTGCCCGTTCCTGCTAGCAATGAGGAAAAGGATTAGCGGAAATGGATATTTGGTTAGAGTAGAAGGCTGGCCACTCACTCCCACTGAGATATGAGGATTGCTGATGGGTGTGCATGCCTACACATACCCATGTGTGGCCCTTGTATCACATTGGGTCTGAAGTGTGCAGTTCTGCACTAAACCATGATTTCGTGTAACTGCTGAAGCAATCCATTGTCTCTTGCATTCCCTTCTTTACCTCAGGCTTTCTTTCCCTTTTAATACATAAAATGTTTTAAAAAGATATGGCATTCCCATCTTCCTGGCTTACATAGGCTGCAATTCTGTGTTTTCAGAGTCACTTGGTTTACTTTCTGCCTGGTGGCCAACCCCTTGCTGAGTGTGATCCCTATCTTTGCACGACCCTATTGGTGTTGGTCAATTCAAACATGCATGCCCATCTTCAAACTTCCCCTGGGTGGGCCATCTGGAGAAGGATACTTTATTTTACTTTGTTTTCATAACAAACCAATATTTTCTCCCTACTTAGCATAATAAATTATAATTATGAGCCATCAAGTCAATTTCAAGTTATGCTGCCCATTGCCAGGGTTTCCTAGGTATAAAGTATCCAGAGGGTACTTTATCAAGTCCCTTCTTCCAATGGCAATGGGCATCTGTGAACCTGGGCACCCAGGTGTTCTTGAGCTACAACTCCCAGAAATCATGGTCAGCACAGCTAGTGGTGAAGGCTTCTGGGAGTTATAGTCCAAGAACATCTGGGGATCCAAGGTTGGGAATCATTGCTCTGAATATACTCTCTCCTCCTTTCTCTAACCATTTGTATGCCTCCTGTATCCACACATGGATTCTAATATATAGAGAAAGGAAAGAGGAGCAGGAAGAGGAAAAGGAGGAAGGTAATAGCAGCATAAAGACAATATCTGGGTTTGAGTTATAATTTAAGCATATAACTGCTGGTCATATTGCTTGTCGACTGCTGAAATACCTGTTTCACATATGTTAATAGCAGTATGAATTCTTGGGGGGGGGGGGGAACAGGAGAATAATCCATACACCATTAACCAGTAACAGCTCATGGACTGAGCAGCAGGGCACCTCATCTCACCCCCCTGCTCTGTCTATGTCATCACGATTGCAGTGAAGTATGATTTTTATGCTCACGAATAAGATCACATTTTAAATATTGTTCGGACTGGAAAATGAACTCACTCGAAAGTGTTCAGAATAACTAGTTCCCCATATTGATAGCTACAAAAGGGGCCAACCTGATGAGCTGAACAATCCAGCTGTTTTGTATACAAAAGAGTGTGCTGTTTGTGTGCTAAAATTTATTTAAGCAAGAAAGGTAGCCATTTGTTTAAACTGATGAATTGAATATTTGATATGGGATTGCTTTCCTTTGCTGGAATACATGGAGTATGTGATGTTGGCTTTGGAGAAATCCAAACTAAAGAAGACCTACTTTATTACTTAACTAAGCAACAGCAGTAGCAATAGTAAAAGGAGCTATCATTTGGCACTTACCTATAAGATACTCAATCCAGAATTGATCCTTTACTGGATTGTATGGACGGCTGAAAGAAATCTGAATATGGAAAGACTGGCCTCGGCGCACAATCAACCGGTGGTTGTAGTATTTGTCCGTATGGTGCTCTCGCTTATTAATTTCATCTTCACGCTGGAATATATTGACTTCCAGGACTTCCAGAATATCTTCAAAGACACAAAGAAATAGAAACCATTATATTTTAGCTACCCTGGGCACAGCCTCATAACTAAGTCCTTTGGCTTAACACATTTATTTTAAAATGTAATACTTCAGCCTTCACATCAATTCCACGACCGTTGACAGTGAATGAAAATAAATACTCTAAAATACAATATGAATATTCAAATTGTAAACTAGCTGGATCTCAGCATTAACAACAAAGTATGAAAGAAGATGTAAACATGCATGCAAGAGATGACAGAATCCATCTGATTTTTCAGGAGATACAATTACATTCTTACATTCAAATTCATTCCTGCATCTTGGGTCCATCCCTCCTCCCACCTTCACTTCCTTCTTTGTTGGCAAATTAAAATTAATTTTAAAAGGAAATCAAGTATAAAAGATCTGAGTCTATATTTGAATCAGTTCTCACAATGTGCATTAGTGACTTGTTGCACAAGGTTCAAAGAGGAATCTGTATCTAGACCCACTGTCTCAACCCAAACGGCATTGACCAGGCACCACTCCCAGTTGACTTAGAATCGCATGTACTGGGCAATAGCTATACAAGAAGAAGCTTCAGTCCTGTTCTGCTCCCCACAGTCTGCAATACATATTGGGAAAGACTGTTATTTTTCTAGCTGCTCCTCAGTTATTAATATTCAGAAACGGGGCTCATAGTATTGTCATATTTGTCATTATTTTCCAAATCCATATTCAGAGGGGTATTGCAGCAAGATCTGTGGTTCGGAAAAATATGGGTTGGTTTTTCACTTCATAGTCCTCTCCCAGGATGTTTCAAGTTTAACACATGTTGTAAATTAGCTGCTTGTGGGGATCTATTTTAATTTTACAGCAAATATGGCACTAGGGTGAAATCCATCAACAAAACCTGCCCCTAGACCCAATTCTAGTTACAAATGTTTTTGGCTTAATGGGTGTTAATTCTAATTCTGAATTAGCAGTCTTCAAAAGCCAGTTTTCAATAGCAGGGTCGCTGTTTTACCAGCCTTAGCAAGGAAAAAATTAGACAACCTACATTTCACCCAAACAATAGCATCTTCATTGCAGGATATGGTAAGGTTCGTCAGATCCCAAGCTTTCATCTTAAAGAAATACAATCCAAAATACAAACCTCGCAAGATTCTAGGCAGAGTGATTTAGTGTGGCTGAGGGAGCAAAAATAAAAAAATAAAAACAAAAACAAAAAACCATGCCAGCATATTTTGAAATACCTTTAGAAACCAGGAGACTAAATTCAATTGTAGTAATGTACTTTAGAGACATGACACTCACTTATAGGACCAGATTGCTTTGCATCAAGGATGAACTCAAAGCTGATGTTTTCAACCTATCAGTTTCAGTTGAAGATGGGGCAAATGCAACAGCAAACAATAAGGTTACTTCTAGAAAGGGTAAACGTTTTGAAACATTTGGAACCAATGAGGGCCATTTGGTTGCAACAGTAATCTGTCCATGGTGTAGGAAGGTGACAGAATATCCTGTATTGTGGGGGCTTGTAACACAATAGGTTTCCAGGTCATTCACTCCCTCTACCCCTCACTAAAGGGAATGAGGCAGAGGAGGAGAAAGTACTCTGATAATTTTGTAGTATGAAGGGTGACAGCAGATTCTGCAACAATGGGAGTTCGAGGGAAAGAGACACATAAAAAAGGATGCAAGGACCATATGCAACCTACACCTTCTCTGTTGTACTCCTCTTGTCTCTCTGATTCCCATATTTTTCCCCAAGAGGTTGGGTGTGGTCAGATGGCTGCAAAGATGTGTGCCTGATCACACCAGAACAGGAGCGATTTCTCTTAAAGTGAGCCTTCTGTCTGCAGGGGAATCGCTTCAGCTCAACCCCCTTATAGCTGGACCAAAATGATTCAGCTTGGGGACAGATTGGGATCAGGCTGGAATGCATTTTCCCCAAGTGTCATGCATCTGCCAGGAAATAGATTGCACCAGACCGCTCCACATATGGTCCAAATTACAATATAGGTCCCCATGTAATCACAGCGGTTTTTGACACCAAGCATGCTAATATTATCAGACTGATTTGCTGAAACCTTAGGATTCCTCCAATCCATCCATACATATACCCAAACATTTACATTCCTTCCAACCTAATTAAATTTCCCTTTGATGCTACTAATATTTGATAACCTTTCAGCTCCCAAAGGAGCAGTTTTCAGAGAATGGGTATATGATGGGCAGTATTGTACAGTACTCTGTAAGAACAAATATAATCTAAATACATGTGGTGGGAAATCGTACTTAATAGCAAAGAGTAACAGTAAATGCATGAGCCGTTCAGGCAACTAGAGTACAACAGTCTTCCTTAACAGCGAGGTATCTTGGCGCAAGTCATTAGAATCTCCCATTCCCAACCTCTGAGCACCTGACATCTAATCTTGAGGGACATAAACACGGCCTCATCAATGATGCAGGGCCTTTAAAGGCACATAATGCATTCTGGAGGCAAGCCCACTATCTTCAAATTAAATTTTAATTCAGCAGCTGAGCACCCTTATTGTAAAGTCAAAGCAAAGAACCCAGTGGTTGCCCTAAGAAAATATATTGCCCCACATGCTGTCGGCCCTTCCAAGAACACATTTAATAAGGCTCATCCTTGGGTGGATGAAAGAAAAGTCATGCCTCTGGTTCTCAGAGGATTAATCATACAGTATCATTGCAATAAAGACATGTTGCAAGCTGGCTTTGGCTTCATAAAATATATTTCCAGTTGACGATTCCCATGCTGCTAAAGCCTGCCTTGAATTTTGTTCTGTTGTCTGGATCAGTGTATGAATCAGAACTTCAGAGAAATGAGATTCCACCACCACCCCTTGGAACACAGTAACCCTCAGTTACTCTGAGCATTTGCTCAGTTATTTTAGTTATTTAGTTATCGAATATTTATTGAAATACAGTACCTCCAATTTGCCCTATGTCAACATATCTTAGAGTGGAAATAGTTAGGGTGGCCACTGCTCCCTTGCCAAAAAGATGGAGGACATAGAAGACAAGGAACAAATAGAGGTCACTGTACTTTTTTTACATTTTTTTAAAAATTATTTAAGTTCAACTAAAACATCAACATACAAAAACAAAAATAGAAAACAGAAGAAGAAAAATCCTTCTACTAAACTAAGCCCTCCCCCCTTTTGGAGTCAGAGACTCCAGCCTCGTTAACCCTCTGCTCTCCCTGGTTGGGTTTTCAGTATGCACTGAATGCATATACATGTATAGTGAGATTTGCCCTACACTCCTGTCTTCCTCTGGGCCCAAGAGTATGTTAGTTCCCAGCTTTGTTTTATATAGTCTCTTGGTTGTTCCCGTAGTGGCTTGCTTCTTTTTTTATTTTTACAAAATGACCCCCTACCCCAGGGCTCTGTCCAGCCTCTAGCCATTACATCGCACTGGCTGTTGAGACCATTTAAACACTTTAAAGCAATTAAGATGTTTTGAAACAGTTTCACAAGTAAGATAAAATGAAAACAAAAGGAAGGATTGGAGACTGAAGCCATCCTCTCAGCTTGCAAATACTCAGGTGAAAAGCAGTGTTGCTGCCAGTTGGGCTTCCCAAGGGAGGGCGTTCCATAACTGGGGCACGATAGCAGAGAAAAACCTGTCCCAGATCTCCACCTGATATGCCATCTGGCAAGGTGAGACATTCCCTCAGTAGAACAGGCAGATATGTGAGTGTTTAATATCTAGGCCCCAAGCCATTTAGAGCTTTAAAGGTCATCATCAACAAGTTCAACTCAGAAGCCAATTGGCAACCAGTGCAATTCTATCAGAACTTATATCGTGTGGTTTCTGATAATTGTTCCTGCTGGCACTTTATCTGCTACATGTTGCACTTGGTGATCTCAGTCAACACCTAGATTTTTGAGAGAGCAGGCCATCAACTACGAACACTGAAATTTGCATCTCTCTTCTACTGTATCTGGACTGCAGCACCCTTGCCAGTGGCTTAACCCTTTTTTCTCCATGCTCCCTCTCCCCTCCAAATCCTTCCCTAGCTGCTATTATCATGTTTGAGACCCGGTTCAGTGAAACCAAAGGCTTCAGGGCCAAAACCCCAGGACTTTTAGATTAATAGGGACAGTAAAGGAAATGTCATCCTTCTCAGAATCCCTAGTACTCTCTGACCTTAGATCCAATTCTCAAAGTACCTGGGGAGAAACATTTTTGTCAACAACAGTACAATGTTCTGAATTGTCCTTGCTGAGTAAAACTGCGAACAAAGAGATTGTATCACACGAAAAAGGAAGGAAGACCACATATTGACATCAGCAAGACTTGTGATCAAAGAAAAATGGAGGAATTTGCCCAAGCGCTTCAGGAAACCCTTCCAGGCCCAGCTGATGCAAATGCACCCGAATGACGGGAACGTTTCAAGAACGCTGTGTATAACACCGCCTTGTCCACATTTGGCAAGAAGACCAAAAATACAGTCGACTGGTTTGAAGCCCATTTGGAGGAATTGCTGCCAACCATCAAGGATAAGAGGAGAGCTCTAGCAGCTTACAAATCCTGTCCTAGCGAGTACAACTTGCAAGCTCTTCAAGCTGCTCGTAGCCAAGTCTAACAGGCTGCCAGGAGATGTTCCAATGATTATTGGCTTCAGCTCTGCTCTCAGATACAGACAGCAGCGGACACAGGTAACATCAAAGGAATGTATGACAGTATCAAGCAGGCTTTACGTCCGATACAGAAGAAATCTGCTCCCTTGAAGTCTGCTACAGG